GGGGGGGGCGAAGGGGATTGAGGGAGGATTGGGGGGAGAAGAGGTGGACCAAGGGAGGGAGGATGGGGGTAGAGAGGGGTGGGAAACGGGAGGAGGCAGAAGGGAGGGGGAGGACCGGGAGGGAGCGAACGGGGATGGTGGGGTGCAAGTGGGGGTGAAGGAAGGGGTAAGAGAGGGGGGGAGCGATGGAGAGGGATTGGTGGCGGAGCGATGGAGGGGAATGGGGGGTCGAGGGGGGGGGGGAGAGGGAGGGACCAGGTGGGAGGGTCCAAATTGGGGCAAGAGGGAGTGGGAGAGAGGGTAGTTGGGATTACGAGAGAGGGAGCTAAAGTGAGGGGGTGAGGGTGAGGGAGGGAAAGAGAGGGGCTGAGAGTGTCCATGTGAGACGGGGTGAGGGTGTGCGTGTGGGGGGGGGGGGGGGGGTGTGGGGGGGGGGGGGGTGAAGGTGAACGTGTGAGAGGTTGTGAGAGGGTTAGAGAGGGAAAGAGAGGGGGTGAGAGTATATGGGTGAGAGAGGGAGAGGGAGTGTGAGTGTGAGGGAAAGAGAAGGGTTGAGAGGGTTAGATAGGGAGGGCGAGCGTGAGGGAAAGAGAGGGGATAAAAGTGTACATGTGAAAGGGGTTGAAGGGGGAGAGGGAGCTAAAGAGAGGGGAGAGGGTAGGGGAGAGGGTGAGGGAGAGGGAGAGGGCATGACCAAGGCAGAGAGACAAGTTTAGAGTGTGAGAGAAAGGGAGAGTGTGTGTGGGAGAGATTGAGAGGAGATGGTGAATGTGTGTGTGAGAGAGAGTGTGTGTGATAAGTTAACGAGAGGGAGATGGGGGAGATCTTGTGATTGAGGGAGAGAAAGATCTTGCGAGCGAGGGAGAAGGAGAGAGGTATCGTGAGTGGGGGAGGGGGTAGAGATATCGTGAGTGAGGGTGGAGGGAGAGGTATTGTGAGCGAGCGGCGGAGGAGGGGAGGGAGAATGAAGGGGAGGATGACTGAGTGTATACTTGTGTGAGAGAGAGAGAATTCAATGAGAGCAAGTGAAAAAGTGAGACTGAGGGGATGAGGCTGAGTGAGAGAGAAAGGATGAATAAGCATATCTGTATATTTAACGGTATGTTTATTTACGAGTGTGCACTTTGGCTGAAGAGCTTGAATGAGGAGTCACTGTCTGAGGATAGCTTTTTGGAACTGATGAGGAGAATAGTCTTCATTCGGCAGATTGTGAATCTTTGTTATTTTGTTCCCTGTGCTGCTTGACCCTCTGTTGTTGAGTAGATTTAGTGCTACTAGTTTACTCAATGAATCCAGTTGCTGTGGCAATATTCACTTTTACATGCATGTTCTTGTGGTTAGTGATGGTAGAGGCTTCAATTTCTTTCCACCACGTGGCTGACCAGGAATCTCTTTCACTCTTACTACCTGCCATTGGCATGTATTGGGAGGATTTGCAAGGTGATTCTCAACCTATTTGATTGCATTATGAAGACACCTTTCTTGACCACTAAGTCCTACACAAACCCAGAGTTTTTGGCTCAGAGGCAGTAATGTACATACTGCACCAGAAGACCTAATTTAAGATGGCAATTTGTAACTTTTGAGTCCTGAGGCCATCAAGATATATGGGGACGGGATGGTAAAAAGGAGTTGCAAAGATAATCAGCCATGGAAACATAGAAAATAGGTGCAGGAATAGGCCTTTCGAGCCTGCACCACCATTCAATATGATCGTGGCTGATCATGCAATTTCAGTATCCCACTCCCACTTTCTTTCCATACCCCTTGATCCCTTTAGCTGGAAGGACCACGTCCAGCTCCCTCTTGAATATCAACCTATTGACTGCTGGAGCAGGCTTGAAGGCTCTGTAGCCTATATCCAGCTCCTCTCTCTCATGTCCACATGGTTAAGCTGCTGGTGGAATATTTGACCAATTTTGTCCAGCACGCTTTAGGATTGATGTCCAGGCCTTGGAAAATGTGCAAGCGAATTGTACAGAATGGTTTCAGAGATTAGATGCTTCTTTGCATTTTAAAACATAAAAGTTACTGGAAGATTCAATAGAAATATTTGATTTTATGAAGGCTTTTAATGTGGTAGGCTGTTTTATTTTTCAGTTTATTCATTCATGAGACATAGGTTTCACTGGCTAGGTCGGCACTTATTGCCAATTCCTAATTGCTGTTGAGGAGGTGGTATTGATCTGCTTTCGGAACTGTGGCAATTAATGTGGGTTAGGTACATCCACAATGTTGTGAGGGAGTGGTTTCCAGGATTTTGACTCAGTGACAATGGGACAATGGCAATGTATTTCCAAGTTAGCATGCTGAGTGGCCTGGAGGGGAATTTGCAGGTGATGGTGTTTCCATCTATCCCCTGTTCTTGTCCTTCTAGTGCTCTTGGTGAATTCCAGCAGTGCATCCTGTAGATGGTACACACTGCTGCTAGTGAGCATTGATAGTGGAGGGAATGAATGTTTGTGGATGTGGCACTAATCAAGCGGGGTGCTTTGTCATGAATGGTGTCAAGCTTCTTGGGTGTTGTTCGAGCCGCACTCATCCAGATAAATGGGGAATATTCCATCACACTCCTGATTTTGCCTCGTGGATAAAAGTCAGGAACTGAGTTGTTCATTGCGGAATTCTGAGCTTCTGGCCTGCTCGCATAGCCACAGTATTTATGTAGCTGGTCCAGTTCAGCTTCTGGTCAATGGTGACCCTCAGGATGTTGATAGTGCAAGATTCAGCAATGGTGATGCCATTGAATGTTAAGGCGCGATGTTAAATTCTCTGTTGTTGGAGTTTGTTTCTCTCAGTCTCCAGCATTCTAATGTAATCGACATATTCTAAATAAAATAGTTCACAACAATCCAAGAAAAAGTCAATTTGACTTACCTCTTAATGTTAGTGATCCTTTTAAAAGATTCCAGGATATTGATCCAGATTCACATCTTCACCAATAAATAAGTAGTTCTTCCTTGAGTTGTACTCCACATGTATGCGAGTATAAATAATTACTTCTTCCTTGAGGTGTACGTATATGCAAGTTTTGTTGAAATACTTAAAATATGTTTTTAGACCTTTTGTTTACAGACCTACAGACTCACTGACAGGGCAAAAATACTAACTCTATCCAACTTCAATGGCACAGTTTGCAAAAGTACCAGTGGGGGGAATGCAGAGAGTTACGTAACACAGTGAGTTGCTATGATTTGGAATGTCCAGTATGAAAGGCTGTTGGAAGCAGATTCAATAGTATGATTCAAAAAAGAAATTGGATATATGATTGAAAAGGAAACAAAAATATTGCATACCCATACAGATGGGGAGAGTGGTATTCAGAGTGAAAAAGAGAACTAGAGAGGCACTGGAGAAAGGTTTTGGAGAGAGTGACAAAGACCATGAGTTATATATGTGAGTGAGGAGTAGCTGTGGCAGACTGATGGAGAGAAATAGTTTATAAAGGAATGGCCAGAGCAAGAGGCAATATGTGCAGTCTCAAAAGTGAAAGGGAATAGCGTGAGATAGAAATATGAAGTAGATGAGTATCTGCTTCTCTCTCCACAGTTGCTATCTGACCTGCTGACCATTTCCAGTGTTTTCTGTTTTTACTTAACCTGGGGCTGCTTCCACAACATGTTTGCTAGCATTAATACTGAAACTCAAAATTGTACAGAAACTTGGCACCACTGTCCTCACATTCTGCCATTTTTGCTGTAAAGAACAGTTGTGGGAAGGGGTAGATTTGAGAATCTGAGGGGAGAGTGCGAGATGTGAGAATCGGTGGAGGAGAAGTAGCTGGATTTCACAATGATGGGTGAGAATTATTTAAATAATTCACCAGAATCTGTGTTATCTATCATCTTTTTCTCAATAAAAATTACATCTATTGTGCAATAATCTCTGAGGGGTGGGATGTGTATTCACTTTTACAGTATAGACAAGGATGCATTTTATTAATGAGGATGGAATGTCTGCATTGTGTCGGATTGAGTAAAATATGAATACTTGAAGTCCTGAGGAGGACAAAGGATTAATGAGAGGTCAGAGCAGGAGGAGAAGGTTTGGGACTGGAAACCAAGTCAAATCCTACATCCTTGGATAATTGGGCAGTCGAAATGGAGGGAGCAGGAGCAGATTTAGGACAGGGAAGAATGACCCAATGTTACCCTAAAAGGAATAAAATTGAAATATTTTAGGAAGCAAGTCTTACAGAAGTTACAAGCACACTTGCCCTATCAGTGTAAGCCATTAAGACTCAAATCGCAACATAGGAAATCAGTCCAATCTGCAATGATACCCAGTGCCAGTGTGATGATACCATTCCCTCAAACTATTCTAGGTCAGGAGGTTTCACAATGGACAAAATCCTCATCAAAACAGGACAAATGTCTCTTGATGTAGCATTGCTATGACCACAGTGAACATTGAAGAATACGTGTAGGATGTTTGTGATGACTGGATGTCCTGATTTGAACAAAAGTTGTATGTATGTCTGTAACTGCATGAAAATAGTGTGTGTCAGTAAGATTTAGTTGATGATATCCTTTATTGGTAGTTACAATATATTAAAGATTTCCTTGCTTTTATTTTCAAAATAACAAGATACAATAAAAGAAGATTCTGCCGCCGAGAATGTTGATTTTGGCGATCTTGAAGGTGACCAGATAGATGAAAGTGATGTTCGAGAGGATGAAACAACTGTTGCAGCTGAAGACGAAGGTGAAAACCCATTATCACTGTATCTGACTTTTAAGATCTCTTTTCACGTTTTGCTCCAGGAAGGTGTAGATGACTTTTCAACACAGTTTTAAAAGACGCATCTTTGATTTCAAATCCCTTCTTGGTCTTGTCTGTCCCTGTCTCTGTAACATTCTCCAGTCCAAAACCCTCTGAGATTTCTGCATTCCAAATCTGGCTTCTGTAGCATCCCTGGTTTTAATTGTTCAATCATCGGTGGCTGTATTTCAGTTGCCCAGCCAAAACTCTGGAATTCCCTCCCTAACATTTTCCAGCTGACTCCCTCCTCCTTCAAAACTTTCATTCTTCAACCAAAAGTTTGGTCATCTGACCTAATATTGTCGCCTGTAACTTGGTGTCTGTTTTTGTTTCATTATACTTCTGTGAAGTGTCTTGTGATTTTCTTTTAACCAAATTAAATATGCTATATAAATGTAATGAAAGTGTGTTTTAACAGGGTCATTGGGGTGCAGAAAATGAGACCACATTATAAGTGAACCGTGGAAGTAATCATAAGAGATATTTGCTGAGGTTGTTGTCGGGGCCAAGAGGGACAGGTGAATCAGCCTGAGGAGGGAGTTGGACTCTGTGTACTCAGTGAATTTGTTTTATGTTGACCTGACTTCCATGGTATAAGTTGTTAAATTAGTGGCTCTCCACATTTGGTTGTTTCATTCCACTTTCTCTATATACCATCAGAAATATACAGGATTGAAAGTCATGAAAGTGATTAGTTGCAAATTCAGAAATTGCTGGAAAAACTCAGCAGGTCAGGCAACATCAGTGGAGAGAAAGCAGAGTTAACGTTTTGGGTCCAGTGACCCTTCTTCAATGGACCCGAAACGTTAACGCTACTTTCTCTCCGCAGATGCCGACTGACCTGCTGAGTTTTTCTAGCCATTTCTGATTTTGTTTCTGATTTCCAACTTCTGTGGTTTTTTTTTGTAAGGTGATTAGTGTAGGGGATAAGGAGATATTATAGCAGTAAAGACAAAGTTGCCACAGTCCTAGAGGATCATAGGCTGTTCTCATTAGAGAGAAACGACTGGTGGTGGGATTACGGTGAGGGGAGAGGTCGAGAAGATGTTGATATCACACTGCATTGCAAATCATCCAGCCAACTGAACTAATTGACCCCTTAAATATCACAGCAATGGGAATCATTGTGTGTACAATTCTGCAGCTTTTTGTAGATTGTTTTGACCTGTTGTGCACTCCTGCAGTGTTTTGGGATCAACGTTTTGCACAGAGGACAATTGTTGTTCCTGACACAAACTGCTGCAGTGCGAGTCTGTTCAACAGTGTTCACAATTGGTCAACTCGTCCTTCTCACTGAATTTATTTTTAAAATGGGGAAGATACATTGGTTGACCTGGGGTGGGGTTCAACTGATTGATCTGAGATGAAACTCAACTGATTAACGCAGGAGCCAAGCCCTGTCAGTCTGTGAACTGAAATTTAGATAAGTTATTTTCAAACTGTTGTCATAATACAGTCCCAAGATATAATAAATTGATCTTTAGATATAAGTTAAAGTATAGAATCTTTTAAAGAGAAGGGATTGACATTAGTCAGAACCGGGATTATTTAATCACTATGTGCTCTGGTTAATATTTTTTCCACTCATTTTAAAAATGCATAGTACTGCCATTTTAGATAGTGAAACAGACAGGATCCTTATTAATGAGACTTAGTGCTGTACATTACCAATTCGTACTACATCAAAGACTAACTGGTTGAATACTGAACATTTCTTAAATAGTGACAGATTGGAGAATATTGACATCCAAAGACACCTGGGTGTTCTTATTTATAATCCAGTAAAGACTACAGGAATTGCAGTAGGATCTTGCAACTGGGGAAGTAGGCTGAGAAATGGCAAATGGAGTTTAATATGGATAAGTGTGAGGTGTTGCATTTTGGAAAGTCAAATTAAGGTAGGATTTTCATGGTGAATAGTAGGGCCTTAAGGAGTGTAGTGGAACACGGGGACCTTGGAGTTCAGATGCATGGTTCCCTGAAGGTGGAGTCGTAGGTAGTGAGGGTAGTGAAGAAGACATTTGGTGCACTAGCCTTCATCAGTCAGGGCATTGAGTATAGAAGTTGAGAGTTATGTTGCAGTTGTACAGGACGTTGGTGAGGCCACAGTCGGAGTGTGGTGTTCAGTTTTGGTCACCTTGCTATAGAAAGGATGTTATTAAACTGGAAAGAGTGCAGAGGAGATATTCAAGGATGTTGCCAGGACTCAAGGGACTGATTTGTAGGGAGAGGTTGGTCAAGCTAGGACTTCTTTCTTTAGAACGTAGGAGATTGAAGGGGGATCTTATAGAAGTGTATAAGATCATGAGAGGCATGGATCGGGTGAAGGCACACATTATTTTTCCCAGTGTTGGGGAATCGAGAACTAGAGGGCATCAATTTAAAGTAAGAGGGGAAAGAATACATAGAACCTCACGGGCAACTTTTTTACACAGAGGGTGGTATGCATTTGGAATGAGCTGCCAGCGGAAGTGGTTGAGACGGGTACATGAACAACATTTAAAAGGCATTTGGACAAATACATGGATAGGAAAGGTTTAGAAGGATATGAGCCAAGAACAGGGAAATGGGGTTAGCATACTTGGCCATTTTGGTCAGCATGGACCAGTTTGGGCCAAAGGGCCTGTCTCCATGCTGTAGGACTCTATGACCCTACGTGTAGGTGCAGCAAGCAATTAGTATGCAAATGGTATTTTAGCCTTAAATGGAAGACAATCTGACTGTAACAGTAAAGAAGTCTTGCTGTAGTTGTACAGAGCCTTGCAGTGACCACACCTAGCGTATTGAGTGTATTTTGGTCTCCTTGCCTAAGGAAGAATACTCTTGCCATAGAGGGAGTGCACGAAAGGTTCCCCAGACTGATATTTGGGATGGCAGGATGAGGGGATATTGCAGAGACTGGACCCTCTTCTAAATGTAGAGTTTAGAAGAATGAGAGATGTTTTCATTGAAGTATAATGGAGTATATAGCTGGAAATCTGAATCAAAAACAGAAATTGCTGGGAAAACTTTGTAGGTCTGGCAGCATCTGTGGAGAGAAAGCAGAGGTAATGTTTCGAGTCTAGTGACCCTTCTTCAGTTCTGATCCAAAACATTAACCCTGCTTTCTTTCCATAAGTGCAGTCAGACCTGCTGATGTTATATTAAACTTGTATAAGAGACCAGTTCGGTCTCAGCTGGAGTTTTGTATCCAGTTATGGGTGACACACTTCAGGAATGATGTAAGCCCTGAAGAAAGTGCAAAAGAGGTTTCTTTGAAAATGGATCGAGGGATGAGGAATTTCAGTTATGAAGACAGGATGGAGAAGATGAGATTGTTACTTTTACTAGTTACTTAAAATCTTTGCCCTATATTTCTTGATCCTCAATATCCAATATCATTTTATTGTCACATGTGCTACATTGTAGGAGTACAGTGAAAAACATTCACAATGTCTACCTTCTTATGATGACATCTTAGGTCCAAGTACCTAAGTACAATTCTTGGATACAGCAGAGGAATAAAAGCAGTTGCTTAATTACAGAGTTGAAAATAAGTTTAAAAATAGGAAAATAATAGGGGGTTAACATTACAGAGTTCTAAGGTAAGGATTGTCCCCTCACACTGGTCTCCATCTAGGACTCACTGCCTGCGTGCTGCTCCGGGGCTGATTCCCATGTGCTGCTGTGGGGCATCTTCCCCGCGCTGCTCTAGGCTCAGAGCCCATGTACTGCTCCAGGGCTCACTGCTCGCGGTGTTCTGTGGCTCGTGGGGTGTGCCTGCAGGTCCCAGAGCACAAGGTCATGCTGCGCGTCCTAGTTCCGCTGTGGGACTTGGCCCACACCCACTCTGGTTCCACGACAGGACTCGGTCCGTGCCTGCTCCGGTTCACCACGGGACTTGGCCTGCTCACTCTGCAATTCCATTCTCTGGGTAGAGGGTGGGAGAAAGGGAAAACCATAAGAGAGAAAAAAAAGAGGGAAAATGATAAAGGGACTGGCAAACAGAGGAGCTCCGAGGAGTTCCGACCGGTATGTCCTTTACAAATGGGAACATGTTCCCCCTTTTACTTGGCTCAGGGCTCTCATGGTCTTGAATAATTCAATCAGGTCCCATCTCATCATTCGATTTTCCAAGGAAAAGTGATTGAGGAAAAATGATTTCATGCAGGGAATGGTTAGGGTCTGGAATGCAATGCCTGAGAATCATAGAATTCCTACTGTGCAGAAGGAGGCCATTTGGCCCACCGAGTCTGCACCGAGCCTCCAAAGAACATCCCACCTTATCTCTGTAACCCCACGTTTACCATGGCCATCTGACCTGCACACCATTGGACTGTGGGAGGAAACTAAGGCATGTGGTGGAAACCCCTGCTGACATAGGGAGAATGTGTAAACTCCACATAGACAATCACCCAAGGGTGGAATTGAACTTGGGTCTCTGGTGCTGTGAGGCAGCAGTGCTAACCACTGAGCCACCCAAAGAACGTTTTCCTTTATTCTCGTATGGGATGTGATGTTCCTGGCAGGCCTAAATTTGTTGCCCATAGCTAATTGTCCTTGAACTGATTGGCTGTCTAAGAGTCTTGAAGATTGTTTAGTCTGGAGTCACATGTAGGCCAGACAAAGTCTGCAGACTTCCTTTCCTAAACGACATTAATGAACCATATGGGTCTTTGCAACATTTGGAAATGGTACTTGGTCAGCATTAGATTATCTTTTAGTTCCAGATTTTATTGAATTAAAGTTTAATCTGCTATGGTGGGATTCAACCCCATGTTCCCAGAATATTATCCTGGGTGTCTGGATTACTATTCTTGTGATATTTTACCACGATACCACCTGCCTCGTGTAGTGGGTCATTTGATGCTTTCAAAAGGGATTAAGTTGATTATTTGAAAAAGATGAGAATGTGTGGTTTTGGGAAGAAGCAGGAGATTAGTACTAAGTGAAATATTTAATTGGTGAGCTGGCACAGACAGGATAGGCTGAATGGCCTTCCTTGTAACAATTCTGTAATTCTGTCTTTTGGCTGTTTTTGCTGTTCAATCTGAACATGAATGATCTAGTGTTCATCTGCCATTGATCCATATCTTTTGATTTCCTTATCTGAAGGATGTTTGAAACTTGAAACGGTTAAGAAAAGATTTCTGAGGATGTTGCTAGGGTTGGAGGGTTTGATCTAAAGGGAGAGGCTGAATAGACTTGTGCTATTTTCTCTGGAGCATTGGAGGCTGAGGGGTGACCATATAGAGGTGTACAAAATCATGAAGGGCATTGATAATGTAAATAGGTAATGTCTTTTCCCCACAGGTGGGGGAGTCCAAAACTAGAGGGCATAGGTTTAAGGTGAGAGGGGAATGATATAAACGGAACCTAAGGGGCAAAATTATGAGGCCTCCTTTCTCCTAAAATTGCATGTAAGTATCTTTCAGATTTTAAGCAAATAAAGTTAATCTCTCACTGCCAGTGCTTCTTTGAACCTGCTCTGATAATTTATATCATTCCTGGAATTGTTTTTCATCGAGAAACTAAACCTCCTCGTCCCATCTTACGACATACATATGCAGCAGGAAAGACCTGTGCTTTCTCTTTCTTGGACCTAGCTTTGATTTGTCTAATTTCACCCAGTGTGGGAATGTTCGAGCTCCATGCAGGGAAATGTATGCCTGAGGCTCCATTTCCATCCTAGCACTAAATATAACAATTCCACCCAGTATGAGACTTTTGGAGACTCATGCAGGGAAATTTAGGTGCTGGCTCCATCTCAGGCATAGTGTTTGCTCATCCCACACCAGATGTGGGACTGAGAGCCCTCATGTGCATGGATGTTTACAACAGAAAAGTCCCAAGTTCCATCTTGGCCTAGTACTGCTGAGATTGCTAATCTCATGCCTATCCAGAGGGAATTAAAAACCAGTAACCTTTGGAAATTAATATACTGGTCCTCTGTTTTGAAGTATGCCAGGTGACTCGGACCAGTATACCTCTTCGACCAGTTTTTCTGACTTTTCCTTCTGTAACTGACCAAGACCCACAGAGCAGGGAAATGTAAGTCCAGGCTTCATCTTGGGCCTAATGCTTGTTCATTTTACAGAATGATGTGGAACTAAGGACTCTCAGATTCATAGCCAAATACATGCACACACAGAACAGGAGAGTCCAAGGCTCCATTCTCAGCTCTGTTCCTACATAGATCTCTCCCTCAGTGATGTGGAACGAATTGAGACCCACAGCGTAGTGAAATTTGGCCGAGAATCCTGATCATTGGCCTAGTGATCTTGGGTTAGTAGAACCCTACAGAGCAGGGATGTACAGGACCATGCTGAATCTTGCATCTAGTGCTGAGTTAGCCAATCTCACTCCTGGTTTCTGATTGATTGGGCGAACGTCAACATCTCTCTAACATTCACGGTCTGGGGAGATATAGGCCCAGGCTGCACCTTAAGCCTAGCACTGAGTGAGCGAATCTCACACCTGATGTTGGATTGAATGAGCCACACCCCTTCCCACTCCAATTTGGCAACATTGTAGGACCAGGTTTCATCATGGGCCGAGTGCTGAGGTAGCCAGTTAGCCAATTTCACTTCCAGTGGTGAATTCAATGCAGGACAATACAGGCCCAAGCTGCTGAGTGAGCCAATCTGACACCCAGCGAAGAACTGCTCAAGCCATTCAGTGCAGTGGAATTTAGGCTCCAGCTCCATTTCGAGCCTGCTTGACCAAATGGAGTGTGTGGGATTGAGGCCTCCGTGTGGCCCCATTCTCACAGTGGGCCACTAACGTTTAACAGTTGAGTGCAGCCTCCCCAGATCTTTCAGTTTTTATTTAGGATTTAACTCATTGCTGCTTCTCTTCTAGGCATGCCCATATCTTGAAGTTCTGCTCCTCCACTATCAGTTCTGAGGAAGGGTCACCAGACCCTTTGGGGGCAGCATGGTGGCTCAGTGGTTAGCACTGCTGCCTCACAGCACCAGCAACCCGGGTTCGATTCCACCCTTGGGCGACTGTCTGTGTGGAGTTTGCACGTTCTCCCTGTGTCTGTGTGGGTTTCCTCTGGGTGCTCCAGTTTCCTCTCTCAGTCCAAAGGTGCGCAGGTTAGGTGAATTGGCCATGTTAAATTGCCCATAGTATTCAGGGATGTGTAGATTAGGTGGGTTACAGGGGTATGGGTCTGGGTGAGATGCTTTGAGGTTGGTGTGGACTTGTTGGGTTGAAGGGCCTGTTTCCAAACTGTAGGGATTCTATGGTATGAACATTTTTATCTGCTTACGATCACTCAGGAGCTCTGGGTGTCCATTTTGTTATGGAGTGATTTAGAAATAACATTCCACATCCAGAATGGTGTGGAATATGGCCTCTAGAATACCCTTGCTTGTAATTTGAGTGAAACTGTGGCAGGTATATCAATATCTTTGTGTTTCCAAACTTCATCTAACGTAATGTGTGTGACATTCTGGCAACACCAATTTCCACTCAGGTTTACAGTTGGAAATTATCTGATTTACCTGAATAGATCCAAAAAGCTCAATGGGAAGTAACTTTCTACTTGTTTCAAAGTCTTGCTGTGCTGTTGATTTATACTTCCTCCTGATGTTTTTGGATGAATGTAGAGAATGGGCAGAATTTTCATGAACGTTGGGAAATGCATTCAGGTGAAGGTGCAAGGTACATCCTGCAAAGCAGCATCGGCTCAGGAATCCAACATCATCCTGCCCTTTTCCAGGTTTTACCTGGGCAGGTGCTGAAGCAAGGTACCTAAAAACAGGGGAACTTAAGCAATAGAAGCAGAGGTAGGCCATTTGCCCCCTTGAGTCGACATAGCCATTCAGTAATACCATGGTTGACTTGATTGTGGCCTCAGCTCCACTTTCTTGCCTTTTCCCCCTTAACCCTGAACTCCCTTGTAGAACAAATATCTATCTAACTCAGCCTTAAACACTGTATATTTATGAAGAACATTTTCCAGGGTAATTGGAAAGCCTTGATTATTCAGCGGCAACTGAAAATAACCAAATTAGAAAAGGGATTTGGATGGAGGCCGATGGTGGAGGTGAATAAGACTACACTGTAAAGAATTGATCATAAGTTAAATGTTTTTAAGTAGCAATTGTGATTCTGTATTAATAATTTACATGGTGAGATTAATAAGATCAAAAGCTGATGCTATGTGAGGCAGAGCTAGGTGAACTGCTGGGACACAGAACAATACCACAGGAAAACTGCGGACCCAGCTGCTGTCCTGAGGGTTGTTATTAAACAGTTAGTGAAAGACCAAAAAAATTGCTGGAAAAGGTGGAAATCATGAGGTAGATCAGTATAAGATTCAGGCACTGAAATATCATTTGAAGAAACTGCAGGGTCTTCTGTTTGCTATAACAGATCAATAGGTTGGAGAACAGAAAAGTTTAGGGGGAGAAATAGAATACAATGAAATAACTGAGGCTGCGCGGGATTTTTTCTGCAAATCTTACTTTCTTCATAAAACTTGGAAAAATGTATTCCAAACTATTTCAAATTGAATACTACAGGAAATGCAATAAAATTCAACTTAGCTCCATACTGCGTGCCCTACTGAGTTCCCTCAATACAATCTCTCAGTACTCTTGATATTTACAATACTTGTTTGATGTTAGGCATGCAGCTGGAGGTGAGTGTCACACAGTTTCCAGCCCCGCGGTGTGCTAGGGCTGAAAGCCCTTAGACAGAGATAGCAGGAACTGCAGATGCTGGAGAATCTGAGATAACAAGGTATAGAGCTGGATGAACACAGCAGGCCAAGCAGCATCAGAGGAGCAGGAAGGCTGACGTTTCGGGCCTAGACCCTTCTTCATTTCTGAATGAAGCCCGAAACGTCAGCCTTCCTGC